GAAGAATGCTGTCTTGGCCAGAGAATACCTCCTGAACCAGGGACAGAGCCCAGTTTTTGAAAATTTCACATCCTGAAGTTCCCTCACCATGGTGTCCCTCCCTTTCTTCCATCCCTATTCAAAGAAATATTGTATTTCAAGACAATGAACTCAAACAGCTTTGATGCAATAACCTCCCAGAATTATTACCAGGAGAAAAGAGAGACTGGGGACCTTCCTGAATGCCCATTATCATGCAATCACAGGATCATGGGATTTTTTAGGGTGGAAAAGACTCTTAAGACTTTGGCTGCTCCATAGGTGGGTGATGTGTTGCAGAAGGAGGATGAAGCAGGGATGTGGGGAGGCATGGAGGGAGTGAATTCCTGTCCAAGACCAGGAGATCCTCCTCTGGTGTCTGTAGCTCTGAGAGCCAGGGAGGTCTCACCTCCACTTCTGTCCTCCAGCTCCCACACTGAGAAATCGTAGAACCACTGTGCAAAATGGTCTGGGCTGGAAGGGACCATAAAGAGCATCTGATTCCACCCCTGTGCCATGCTCCCTCCTATTTCATGATTTATTACTGATCCTCTAGGTCTGTCCTGGGTGCCAGCCCAATGTTACACTACGATCCAAGGCCACAAATCTTGCTCTTCTATGCCACATTGGTCAATCCAGACTTCTGTAGAGTGGCTCAATACGGACAATCCCCCATATTAATTAAGGAGAAAGGGAAACAGTGCAAGGGAAGAGTTGTGGGGATTCACCTGCCCCCAACTCCAATGCCATTACTAAAAGTAGCTGGAAAGTGAGGTGTTGAGGAAACAATAGTGCTCAACAGTCAGCTCTGTGGGCTGGTTTAAAACCCATCTGAGAAATTAAACCCACTCAAGGCTGCTCCCCTTTCCCCCCCACCTCTTCTGATAATGGAGGAACACTGGGTGAAATTATAGGTTGGAACCCAAATTTGCTTAAAAATCACAATAACCACAAGAATATTCATAGAAGAGTGTAGAAAAGAGAGAGAGATTTTTACCCACAAAAGATGGGTATTCACCACAAACAAATAAAAATACTTTCTGAAGAAAGTGTGGGGTATAGAATAGACAGGGCTAAAAGCTCCACCCCTTGTCTCTGTACCCAGGACACTGTCAAAAAGCCAGAAGGATAACACATTGCATTTAATAGTAGCTTTCCAATGTCTAGAAATGAATATTTTAAAGGAAGAGTGGGGATACTCACAGGAATGATTTCATGATTATTTTGAACAACACTAGAGCTTTCTCTTTTGTCAGGGATTGTCTGTTATTTGCACAGTGCCTAAAGCTGCTTCTCTCCTCTGGCCTGAGCCATTATGGTAATAATGAGAACAACAACAGCAGCTGCCGTGCTCTGTATGTTAATGACCCTGTGCTGAGGTGAGAGCGGGTTACAGAGTGCTGGAAAAGATGAAGAGAAAAAAACAACAAGGTTTGGATCTGACAGGAACGTTTAATGATAACTACATAAACAGTGGGGAGCTGACAGGCCAAAACTTTGGTGGAGAAGCAGAAACCTGCTGCAGGGATACGTTAGAAAGACAACAAATGTGGCGCACGCAGTGACTGAACTGCTGGAAAAAGAGAATGTCAAAAGGAGAATTTGGATTTTCCCTCCTTTCTCCCCCCCCTTTTTTTTTTTTTTCTTTAATTCTTAAGAAGAAGGTGGAAAACAAAACATCCTTTTTCTGAGAAATGAAAAAGAGGGTTTTTTATTGATACCACAAGAAACAGTCTGTGAACACGAAAATCTTTAGGGCAAAGATGATCAGCAGACTGTGGTGTCATGTGAGCAGGCCATATTAATAAAACTGATGCATTCAGGACACACTTCACTGGAAATAAAAGAGAAGTTGTAGGATCACAAGTAAATTAAATGAAAATTAAAGCCAACCTGTAAGATAGGATGCTTAATTCCACACTGTTCAGGAGGTGTATACAAGAATCCCACATAAAAGAAAGGTTTTGATAAAAGGCAGGATGCTGCTTACCCCTGGTCTTTCCTTTGCCTTTTGAAGAGCCTGTCCTATGGGGCACACAGGGTTGTTAGAAAAAATGGGCAAATCTGAACAACTTTAGGAGATGCAAAGATGTTCATAAAGGCATGGGGACTATAACTAAGCAGGGGCCACGCCCAAAGGGTAAATGGCACTGCTCTGCCCCACTGAATTATCTTTTCATCCCTCATGCTGTTGCTTGGGAATATGTCAAAGCCATGATAAGGGGAAGTGTCTGGAATTTTGTGCTAAAGAGTCAAAACTTTTTTTGATTTTATGAGGGCCCTTGTTTACTATATTTCCAAAATAACATAGACCAAGTAAAACTCCCTGTTACCCAGAATCCTCCCAAGAACATTACTTTATGATTTTCTGTAGATTTTTCTCTGACATATCCCACTTGCCCTTGTGTTTACTGCTTCCACCCCACAATACAGCAAACCTCTTTTGCCCCTTCCATTCCTGGGGTGAGTCCAGTTCATGCAATCAGGCTACTTTTCCTGGCATATCTATTGCCTAAGGTATTATAATAATTTAAAAAGTAAGGTGCCTCTTCATACTCAATGGAAATAGCTAATCTATTTGATTACTAATCAAATAGAATATTAATCAAATTTGACTATTTATCTATTTGACCCCTCTATGAGGTAACTCTCATCAGCCCCACCCAGCAGCTCTGCAGTCACAGCACCCGCTGCAGCTCTCCTGGCTGCTCCTGTCAGTCTGCAGCTCTTGCTCCAGGCATCTACCTGGGGCAGATGCTGCTGGAGGCAATGCCAGAGAGGTCCTGCAGCTAAGTACAAACCCTTCTGTCTTAGTGGAAAGCATGCAAAATGCATTCTGTGGAGATGGTTTTATTCCAGATTCTTTATTTTGTGTGAATAGCTTTTCAAACCTCCTTAATGCAAAAATCCAACAGTGTATGTCTAAAAAAATGAATGTGAAGAGAAGAGCTTTATGAAGCTAATAGCTTTCTCTCATTTCTCCTCCAAGTCACTCCAGAGAGCAGGAGGAGCAGGAGTTGGAAAAGAGCGGGAAGAACCTTCCTAGGCTGGGACTGAGTGACTCAAGCCAGACCCAGCTTGGTACACCTGGAAGATAAGTCAGAGCAAGTTTTGGGCTGCCATCCCATGTCTGTAGGCCCCAGAACCCAAGAGACATCTTGGGTTCTGCTCACTGGACTACCACACAGAGATGGACATGGCCAGATCTCTAATGTGGTCCCTGGGGAGCAGAAGGCATCACCCGATCATCCAGTCAGTACAACTCAGTTTAAATATGAATTCTTTTTATTCTGGGGTCCCTCTTACTTTTAAAAAATGCTTTTTTTTTTTTTTTTTTTTTTTTTGGCATGGGGTAATCACCTCCTGGAGAAGTGCTGAGGACTCTGCTATCCCTTGACCTTCAGCCACGAGCTGGGGAATAAGACAGCTGAAAGACTGAGCCCCCAAAGAGCAAAAGTTAGAAAGAACTGCTTTGGAAATAAATTGACTGAAAAATCTTTATTGCTAAACACAACATATGAAGTAAAAATAAAAGAGGAACACAAATGGGGTGGGAAAATTTTCAGCTTCTCAGAAAATGACTTTTCTGCCTACTGAAATGTTTCAACAGATACATTTATCCCAGCCGTTCTTTGCATATTGAGACAACTCAGAAAATACTTTCTGACATGGATAAGACTCCCCTCAATGCTCCTTATTTAGTATCTTCTTTATAACCAGATTTATAACAGCAGTCCCCTGAAGATAACCCTTAATGTGATGATTAGGGCAGATTTATTATTCAAGCCTAGCCCATCTTTTCCCCTTTTGCCAGTAATTTGGTGGCATACAGAGCTGAGATTGATGGTCTGCTTAAGCATGCAGCTAGTACAAGTCTCAATTACTGAAATGAGCTATTGAGAAAAGTTTAAGAAGCCTCCCCATCCTCCACATCATCTTCTAAACAGTCAAAGCTCTCTCCCCAAGAGAAAGAGCTGACCCTTCCTTGTCTCCCTTTGGGTAGTGCCATCAGATTGCAGCTGCCCAGTCAGGTTCCCCTTAGAGATAGCAGCCAATTACAAATTTACAGTGTGCCAGGGAGCTTCCAACTCCAGCATGGCACAAATTAATAGCATCTCACATCACCAGCAGGAAACAGTTGTTCTTTGGAGTTCTTCTTGCCAGGGTACAAGCAGACCAGTAATGACTAAAGGGAGATGGGCAGGTCACGAGCACAACTTCCACTGCCCAGAGCAGCTCCAGGTTTCTCCATAGCTCTGATGGGACTGTGACTAGAAACCTCAAAGAAATGCACAGAGGCTGCTGTAGGCTGCTGCAGGGGCTGGGAAAGCTCTGTTGTTTTCTCCTTGCAGCTGCGCAAAGGGCTGAGGGCTGCCAACATCTCTGTCTGGCCAGGGCTCTTCTGGCAGAATGCTGGGAAGAGCAAGCGGTGGTACCCCGAGGAGTGATTGACAAACTCTGTCACCCATTGCAGCTGAGACACTGGCCCATGCTGCTGGCTGTAATGGTTGGTCCTTCACTTTTTGAATGGACTGTGAAAAACTGCAATAAAATACACTGTTTTCCCCCAAAAAAGAAGCTTTTCCCATCTCACACATCAAAGCTGCTGTTTTGCTACTCAGCCATGTTTGCTGTGCCATCCTTTCTCTTTTCTGAGACTCCTCAGAGGCTCGTTCTGAAAATCTGGCAAGACAACAACTGATCTCACCAGGGTGGCATAGTTTGCCTCTCTCCTTCTGTGTTATTGTAGATAATTAGGCAAAACTTAAAACAATGAGGTTGTGTGGTATTGACAAGGGATCTTTGAAGGTTTTTTCCTCTACCTGGCCTTTTTTTTTCCCAACTGAACATAATTTTGAGTACAAACAGGTTTGAAACACTCCTCATCACATGTGAAGGTAATTTTAAAGATTCTTGCAGCAGCAGGTCTCTGCTATCCTTTTTCTGGTTTGAAAACAAAACCAGTGAGAGACTCCAAGTCAGAAATACAATTTATTAGGAAAAGGGAAAAAAAAAAAACAACCAAACAAAATACATGCAATAATACAAAAGAAAAAACACTGGCAGAGTCAGAATACAACCTGACACCCTGTTGGTCAGCGTGTTGGCAACAGTCCAGATTGGAATGGCTGCCGTCCTCCTGGAGTGGCAGATGTGCTTCTATCAGAACAGTGATCCTGTAGAAGGGTGTAGTCTTCCTCTGAAGATCCAATAGAAAACCCCAGCTGCTCCTCTGGGAATCCAGATGAAAGGCTGAGTCTGGTGTCCCAAAAACTCAGATTCTATCCAGTTAGGAATGCTTGGCTCCTCCCTCTGGGCGGAGCATCTCACAATGGGATGCTGTAACTTTTATCAGCCATGCAGTGACATTCAATAGGCCATTAACAGCAGATATCTCCTCAGGGGGAGGACTGGTTTGTGGGAGAGATAAAGAAAACTGCCCAATGAACAGAAGATAACTGCCACACCTCTAACAGATGGCAAATAGAATACATTTTAATTTGCAACCTAGGACAAATCCCAAGAGGAGTCTGCAATGCTTTTTCTTACCCAGTCCTAGTGGATGGAGTACTTGCCACTTGAAAAGCAAGCAAGCACCAGCTCCCTGAAGTGGGGAAACACCCAAGAGGACATTGAGAGGCCACAAACACAAGTATGGACACACAGATGTCCCTTGCTCGAGCCACCCTCGTGGGGGAAAGATGGCAACTCTGAAAAACACCAATCACTTGGTTATTAAAATTTTAAAAGTTTAATAATAACAAAATGGTTATAAAAATAATAATACAATTAGAGTAATAAAAATTTAGAGTTAGGACAATTACAAGGCAATAAAAAGCAAAGACTTATGGACATCCGGATGTTCTCGGGCACTTAAGCCACAACAAGCATGCCTTGTGAACAAAGGAAAAACCTTAAAAGCAATAGCCTGTTGCATATTCATATATCTCATACATGATGCATAAATTCCTTGCAAATTAAGAATGTCTCTGTTTTTTGTCAGCTTCTTCCCCTTAATCCTGGTGGTTCCATAAAGATGGAGAGAAAGTAGAAGAATGTTTGCCTTTTCCGATAAGGAGGCAGTCCTTGTCCTGTCGCTGTTACCTGTGTGAAGAGTTTCTTGATTATCTTATCCCTTGCTTGAGCTAGTAAAAAAATCCTGCATCGCAGAGAGTCTATTTTAACATTAGGTTGTTACCTAAGACTATATTTAACACACTACTTAAGAGAATTAATACAGCATAACTTTTTAACATTACACATAGAATATTCATTTTAATATATGCGAAAAGCCAATCCTAAAATATGATTTTTTTCACTTCAGCTGAGCAGTTGAGACTTGGCCACTGCTCACCACAGTGTCTCACTGCTGGGGACAGGGACCCTGCTGTCCCACCATGGGCCCTGGGAGTGGAGGTCAGAGCTGGCAGTGTGAGCCAAGCAGTGCTGCAGCTCCAGGTTTAAATGCAGGCTCTTCAGCTGTTCCCAGCACACGAGGGGTTTACCAGCCCCAGCGCCGCGTTAGGAACAAACACGTCCAGTCTTATGTAACCGGTCCTGAGGGGGCTGCCAAGTAAGCACAGCTTAAAATCTATCAGGCAACAGCATGAACTGCTCAGTGCTTTGCTGAGGGTTTCCACCGGCCCCTGCTCAGCATCCGTGCTGGGACAGACACAGGACCTGTGGGAAGGGCGAGGGAGACAAAGCAACTGCTCTGGCACAGCCTCCCTTCCTTGGCCAGGGCTGTCCCAGCTCCAGAGAACAGCTGGGCTCTCAGCCTCAGCTTCCAGCTCAACTTCACCCAGCAGTGAGGACAAGTCTGTAGCTCTGACGAACTGCTGAGATTCTGGTTACAGTGCTCTAGTTGCTGCTTCTCTGAGGCCCTGCATTTCTTGCTGGGCCCAAATCTGGGGTCAGCTGGAAGCTACAGCTCTCAGTGTCCCAGTGGAAACCATTTCCCAGCCTGGAGTGGGCTGGTGCCAGCATCCTACAGTCTGGTCAGGGGCCACATTAATTCCTGGAGTGATGCCTTTACCTCTGATGTCCATGGGCAGCATCTCAGCTAGACCCGAGGCTCCTCTGAAGCCTCTCCACATCAAGCCTGTGCTGTCACTGAGGTGATTTTTATTTTCCTTTAGGAAATAAAAAGCTCTGAAGAAATCTGACCTAAAAGAAGAGAGATTCTGATTAGATATAAGGAAGAAAATTTTGATGGTGAAATTGTTGAACCACTGGAACAGGTTGCTCAGAGAGGTGATAAATGCCCTATCCCTGAAAACTTTCAAGGTCAGGTTGGATGGGGCTCTGCGCAACCTGTTCTAGTGGAAGATGTCTCTGCTTACTGCAGGGGGTTGGACTAGATGGCCTTTATGGGTCCCTTCAGAGACCAGATATTCTGTGAGTCTTTGAAATTCTGACTTCAGCCAAGAGCTGGAAATACTGAAACATACAGTTGAAAATTAACTTACTTCCCTCACTGAAGTTTGCTTTGACACTGAAATGCCAGAGGACCAGCTGGTTTAGGATGGAAATGAACACAAGTCTTCTACAATGACTACATTTGGAGCAAAACTATGCTCAAGGGTCATTGTGGAGCAAACAGCAGACCCCCAAGTCCAAGGAAATTAGAGAAATCAATGAGTCTTCAGTGGGAGAAGTATTGTGTCCTACCCAGGACAGGAGTGTTAGGAATGATTTTAGGAGAATACTCCAGGTGATACTTGAGACACTTGGAACATCTGTGTTTGAAAAAGCCAAAGCATAATATTGTCTAGCAGCAAAGCAGTGGCAGGAGGAGAAAAGCCAAGGCACACACTCCATCAAAGCACCTCAGCAGTCTTTAAATTTGCTTTGCAGTAAACATTTTCCTTGAAGGTTCAGATTTCAGGGATCAAAGACAACAATCTCCTCAGGATTTTTCCAAGATGCTTGAATACTTTCTGATCTCACTTAACTGGCCCTAAAAATGAGATATTACAGTTTCAGTGGACCCCAGAGAAGGATTCCTTAGCTTCATCCACAAAAATATGAAGCAATGATAATGATAAGAGAAGATGTGTTCAGACAGAGAAGAAAGATAGACCAAACATAAACCCTTACTAAACCACCTGAAGTCACAGCCTCTGCAGCCTGCATCCAAGTCTTCTGGTGCATGAAAAACTGAGATTATAGGCATACTTCCATTTTTGTTAAGTGTAAAGCCAACTGTTCATATGTTTTATACTTTTGAAAAAGTAGAGTTAGGATAGAGTCATGGGCCATAGGATCCTTAGGATTTTACCTAATGAATATCAGTCTAATCACATCAGCCATGCCAATTCACCCCAGCTGAAGCTGTTTTACACAAAATGCAGATGTCTCCTTCCTTGCCTTCTCTGGAGGCATGTTGTAGCTGGACATTCCAGTAGTTGGAGGTGACAAAGCTTTGACTGACCACCTCTGAGGTTAGAACTGTGCTGGACATGGCAATTCAGGTCCAGCAGCTCTGCCTTGTCAACTATCTTGAGCAGCCTGGACTGATTTCTGCTCAGCAACATTTGCTGTAAGTTTTGGTGATCACTCTTGGTGATCAGTAGACAATTCCCCAGTGGGACCCTGCTCTCTATTTCCCTGGAGAAAATGAAAATTTTGGACTGAAAAAGGAGGGAAAAGCCACTTTTTCAATATTGTTATCATTCATTAATTATGAAGCAGTGGCTGTTGTAAATCCCAAATCTCTGCCTCCATTGTAAATGTTACACAGAAATGTAAGAAAGAGGAGGGCTCCTGTCCCAGTGATTCCAGTAATTTATGGAACAGGTAGATTACAAGAGCTAGATAAAGCTGGCAGATTAATTGCTTGCAGGTAAGAGGCATTTAAAATGGAGACAAGTTATTGTGAAAGAGAGAATCTGTACTAATCAAGCAAAGAAAAATTTCCAAGACACCCATAAAAACTGGTGTAACATAATGATATTTTGGCAGTAGTAAAAGAAAGAAGAAGAAAAAGATTGGCAGTGATCTAGCACCAAAAATACAGATACTTGGACTTCAAAAGTATTGGGTTATTCATCGAAAGTGTCTTTAATTGGCTAGCCCCCTGCGGAATGTGGAAAGAGCTGTGAAATATGGAGAGGTTCTTAATCAGAAGTTGTGATGGCCCAAAACAAAACGCGCCCTTAAACACTGCAATTTTCCATAAATGAAAAAATGAGGAGTTGCAACACCTAAACATTGTGGAGAAAGGTTAAATTTTCATTTTGTAAGATGCCAAGTTCTCAATGAGAACAAACACCTGCTGAAAAGAAAGAGAGAACAAAACCACACAACACCCCAAAACCTCAAAGAATTTATGCTGAAAAGCAATTTGAATGGAAAATTTCAGGGCCAGATGGTGCCTGAAAAACTCAGCCTTGACTACAGAAGAGTGTAAAACTCTATCTTAGAAAAAAAAAAAAAAAAAAAAAAAAAAAAGTCCAAAGAAGTTCATCTGGAAGAAGTGGTTGTTGAACATATACACATTTTGTGCAACCATACAATAAGATGATGCATGTCTGGTACCTCTGGCTGTTTGGAATGCCACAGGAGCTTAAGAATTTGGGTCAGACTGAAGGAATGACTCCAAACGTATCCAGGAAGGCAGGCAGAAAGCAAGAGGGCTTGAAAGGGGAGGGCAGGGTGATGAATTCTAAATCAGCTTTTTTCCTGCCCACATAACACAGCATTTCTGCCATAAGAGATCTGTGAGTATTTCTGGTAGGTTTGAGTATAAAACGAATAGGATACAGGGTGTGCCAATTTGGAAGAAACCACTAGCATGTTATTAAATATTTAACCTTCCAAATTTAATTTGTTAAATCCGCTGGGAGCTGTTTCCAGATTGTTTGCAGCGTGCTCTGGGAGCGGTTCCAGGTGAGCAGTGACTTTATCCCTGCTTGCTCACCCTCACTCTGGGGCAGAAGGGACAACATGGAGTGATGAGTCCTTTTTCAGCTCTCCTTTTGTAGAATAAATGGCTCTGTTTCCCAACTGGTTGTAAAACCAAGTGGCTGCAGTGTAGCTGTTCTGATTTACACCAGCTGAAGGCCTGGCCTCCAGTTCGGAGGAAATGGGCTGCCAGTTTAATTACTTCATCCCTGGTATGGTATTAATAATCTGGGAATAAATTTTATGATGCTAAGTAACAGCAACACCAAAGATTTTGTCACATGCCTGACAATTAATGTATGGTGCATGGTATTTCTGCTCCCCCCGCGTTCCCTTTTAAATGATGCTCCTTGTGATTTGAATTTCAAAGAGTAATTCTCCTAGTATTTCTCGTTATTGATGGTGACTGCTCTCAGGAGCAGCTCAGTGCTGCTTTGTTGGCTCATCAGTTTTGATTCCATGCCCAGATGCTAAGGACAGAAGCATGCAATTAATTTGGAAGCACAACCCTTGACTGATTTCAGTTGGGAGATTTTTCTTGAACACCAGAGCCCTGACATATCCCTGTCCACCTTTAATGTTGTCTCTAGATGGAAAATGTCTTCCTTTTCCACTACAGATCTCTTTCCTGAGAAGACATCCCAAAATTCTGCTATATATGCAGACATATATTGTAATATACAAAGAGACCACCAGAGAACCACAAACTATAGGTGATCCCTTTGTTGTAAGGAAAAAAAGATCTGAACTTCTGGGACACTGATGAGTAAGGTGAAAAGGAAAAGGAGTTTGGGATCCAGACCTCTTCCTATGAACAAGAAGGATAAGAGACAAAAAGCTGCCTTTTAGTCAAGATCATACTTAAAAAAAAAAAAAGAAATTATCTCCCTAGAATGATAAGGGTCTTTGAGGCTCCAGACTTCCTGAGGAACTTTCCTGTACTCATCTCAACTGATGCCCTGGTGCTCTGAGCCTAGAAGTTCTGGCTAGGTTAGGACATGAGGAGCATTCTTGCCTCAAAATATCTCCATAGTCAGAGCAGGGAGCTAAGGCACTAGGAACACAAGCTCCTAGGCTTTCCCCATCACTCAGGACATGCAGAGAATCTCCAGAGTACCTCTAGGGTATTTGTTAGGACATTTGCTTTGGAAACAACCTGTCCTCTCTCTTAAGAAGTTACTCCATGTGAAAAAAAACCCCACTCATCATATCTAAAAGACAGGTAAGCACAGGGAAATTAATAAGAAAAATAAATTTATGTTCCCCTCTGCAATTCAATCAGTTAATTCAATGAGCATTCCTGGCAGCTAGGTATTTTTCAGCCAGATGGATTAATTCTTTTAGTGGATCTAGTGAAATGTTGTGGGACCACTGAAGAGTATTCAAGCCATTTCTCCTCGGCTACACTGCTTACAAGCCATGATTCTTCTGGCCTGTTTCCTCACCTTTGCCCTTCCACAAGTTCTCATATCAGTATCTTTCTCCTCCCCACCTGGGAAATCTGACTATTTCTCATGGAGTTATCTATAACTTCCATCAGTTTCTTGCTCTTGTTCTCTCTCAGGTTCAGGACCCTCTCTTTCTGTGCCCAGTGTTTTTTTCCACGGTCTGTCGAGGCAGACCATGCTGAGGCCAGGCCCTAAAACTGCCTGCATGCCTTAACAGGTCTGCAGGCTCTGTCAGGCATCCTGAGGAGCAGTGGGAATGTGTCCTTGCTGGGGGAGATGCTGCAGGACACTGGAAGTGGAAATATGAACTCCTCTTTATTTTCACAGCCTGTTAGTGCAGAAAGAAAAAGGAATTTTCTTTTAGTGTTGCCAACACCAAAGCATTTTTCTAATGTTACAGGACACGCACTGTCTAGTTTAAATCTGAAGGATGATGGAGAATTTGGAACCTGTCATGTCCTTTGTGCACAGCTGCTGTTGAGGCTTCTGAGCTATGGGGCTTCACCTACACTGTGTAGGCTGCAGGCAGCAAGAAAAGAGGCTGGCATTCTCCTTAAATCATAATTGCCAAGGTGGGAATCACACGCAGAAGACTCAGCTCAGCATCCTCCTGCTTCCAGCTGCTGCCCCAGGGTGCTGCTTCTCCCACAGATGACTTGTGCTGAGTCCCTCGGATGATCCAGGACTTCTCCACATGACCAATAATCTTTCTTTAAGGAGGGGAACCAACTCAATGTGACAATCTGAAATCCATTTAATTTAACTTTACTCATCAGCAATTAATTTAACCCATCCGCATGCCCAGATATAAATCCAGGTTTGAGATCCCCTGTGTGACTAGATGCCTCCAACTCCTTTTTTTACTGTCCTGTCTACCATAAGTATCTGATTTTTGGGGAAAGTACTGTCTCTTACCAAGTTTATACACAGGTTCCTACATACTGGGTGCCTAAGCAATCCATAATGGGTCAAATTTCATGGCACTCAGCTCCAAAAAAGTGTCTGATTTCAACAAAGCAGTTTCACTGTGGATGAAAAGGCATTAAATGTGAGATGCTAGATAACTCAGAGATCCTTAATCACATCCAAGAGGAACTTTATAATCTCAGATATTTTGTTGACTCGGTTCGATGTCTAATCTAAATATTTCACCAGCAGCTTGTTCCTTTCTTTATAAAAAAGTCACAAGGTGGCCTTGGCACGTTTTCTTTTTGACAGATGGCCACATCTCAATTAGCACTAACCTGTGCCTTTCCTCTCTACCTCCAAAGGCCAGTGCAAGGCAGCACAAAAATGACACAGTTCCCTCTCCCTTGGAGGTGCCCATACTGGTCAAAAAGCATCTTTTGGACAGGAAAGCATTGGTGCCAGATCTTGCTGTAAGGCTTCCTGGAAGAATCCCAAAAAGTTCAAACACGAGCGCTGTATGCAGTGAGGCAAGGCACAGATGGCAAAAGAAAGGCAGTGCAGGTTTTTTCTGAGCCTCTGAGTCTCTCAGCTCCTGGACATATGAGAAACTGGGCTGCTTTGGCTGAATTCAAGCAACTTGTCTAAAGCAAAGGAGACACAGACAACCCTTCCTAGAGACTGGGATATATAAAAGATTAGTGCTGTCCCACTTTTCCTAACAGGTCCCTCCAAATTAATTTAGCACCAGATGCAAAGACCTCCTTCATCCTCCTGGCAGATGATATCTAGCTGCCACTTCTAGTTTAATTAGGCAGACAGTGATTGTGTTTAGATTTTTCCTCTGTTGCAAGTAAGTATGCATATTCAGTTTATAAAGAGTTCAAAGCAATGAAACATTTGATCTTGAGCTAAGCTACATCATTGACTCAGCCAAAAAATTGTATCTTTTTCTTGTCGATTTGCTGTGAATACAGAGTAAGTAAAAAACGTGCTCAGCTTGGCTTAATCCAAACTCTCATTTTTATTCTGGTTTCAGAACTACCAGCAAACAAATCAACATGAACCTCAGCACCCACACAGCTCAGCCATTCCAGCTAACCAATTTTTCTTTCTCAGAAAGTTAAAAGCACTCCTGGCTACGCCTTTGGGGTTGGATCCAATTACATGGAAAGATTCTTTTTGCCTTTGGCAAGAAGAAATTACAGATTTTGGGCTACTTCCTGATTGCTCTGTTCCATCACTCTGAATTATAATCAAGCTACATATGGTTCAGACCAAACTAATAATTCTGGTGCCAGGATTTTTGACTGACAGAACCCATGAGACAAAAGCCCTGCACAACTCGCAGCACAGTGTCCTGGGGCCTAGTTGTACCCTCTGAGTGATGAGCTATTCTTTGGGTATTGTAGACCTGAAGGTTATTATTTTTATTCTGGTTCATTACCACTGTAAATTCCAGCTCTCAGCCATTCTCCAAAACCTTCACCTTTCCATCCCCTCCATCTCCTTCTGCTAGCTGTGCACTGCAGGAAGATTTAGCAGGAGTGCAGTGAAAGATTCAAACCGGGTTATTCTGCTAGAAGAAGGAAGTTTCTCTGTGGTGATCCCGAAAATCTGGGCTCTAGTCTTGTACGGAGAACAGGCAGGAGGAGCAGCACCTGGTGTGTCCTCTCTCCTTCCCTCTCCAGTGATAGGTGGTGCTGCTGCTCTTCCTACAGACCACCAAGCACTCGCAAGGCACTGCCTCTCCACCTTCTTACTCGAGCGTGCATCACTCCCAGGTTCTGGCTTTGGACAGCTGAGGAGCACAGTGTAACGTGACACTCCCACGAGCATTTAGCACACCAGTGGATGCACCAGTTAATGATTCTCCTGAAACCCTGGAATGTTGGGCACCACGGAGCTGTTCCTGCAGCACTGGATGTGTGGCTCCCAGACCAGGACTCTCCTGCTCTCACGCTGTGCTGCTTCCCGCTTGGTTTGGTGCTGAGGCTTTCAGAGCATCTCTGTCTCCAAGGGCTCTCCCAGACTGTGGTGCAGAGCACCCAGGGGAGCAAAGATCAGGACTGTGTGACTCCCCAGCCAGGTGCTGCTCCTTAGGCTGCTTCCACTGAAGGCAGTGGCCAATTGTTGGGTCAGCACTAGCCCTGTAACAGCCCTGCTCACAGTGATTTGTGGTGAAATGATTTCCCTGAAGCTACAACGATACGTGCCTGCAAAGTCCCATCCCTTTCTTGACTCCTATAAACCTCCATTCTGTAAGAAAAGCTGTTTGTATGTCTCTGGTCATTTCTGCTTCCAGGTGGCATTTCCTTTTTGACATCCTGCCTTGATGGCTCCAGTGCCTAGTTCCTCACAGACAGAAACTGAAGGACCATGGAGGCTCACAAGCCATCATGGGCTGCCCTGTTCCAACAGCCATCAGAGCCAGGGAGATGGACTTTCTTCCTCCCCATCTTTGCCCCTTTCAGATATCCCTTTGTGTTGATCCCTGTCAGCGCAGCACTTTGTGCTTCTGTCTGCACAGGAACTTTCCTGCTGAGGTGCATCTCCATCAGGTGTGGAGGAAAGCACCTTTAGAAACAAAAATAAAGGGTTAGTTACCGTTGCTAGACACATGAGCCCCCCAATTTCTTGCCACGAGAAGCTGTGAAATGTGCTGGCACAATGCATTAAGGATGCATTGCACAACCTGGAATTGAGGAGGACTCTCAGTGACGCTGCTGCACCTGAAAAGAAACCACAAAATCACAAACGAGCCTGCTGCAGTTCACCTGCCCCATCACAAGGCCTTTTCTGTTGCTATTTGAAGAACTTTCTCCAAAAATCTGCAGGGTACCAGTGAGCTGCGAATATCAAAACCAAACCAGGCACAGTCATCAGCTTTCAAGCAAAAAGAACAGGACGATTTATGGCAAATGCAGTGCCATAGGAAAGTGGCATAATTAACTTCTGTTAATTATGAGTTAATTATTGGTAAATTCTTTGATGGTTTTGGGCAAGAGAAGAGGACTAAAAAAAAAGGGAGAAGTACGCCCTGGTCTGTAGCAATGGTTGCAACTCCTGTCATTGTTGGATTGGGATTGCTCCTCTACTTAGATTTTCTTGGTTCTGCTGCAAAATTCAAGTAAAACAAATGAAACCAGACTTCTTCATGGATACAAAGTCTCATGGTCTTCCTAGACTGAAGGAAATATGTGCTTAGTTTGGTTCAGGGAGAATGGCAAACGTAGAAGAACAGTGTTAGAGGAAATCATTACTTCCCTGATGTCACTGAATCTCACTTTGATAACATTATGGAAAGAAACCCAACATATTCTGGAAGTGTCAGAAGGAAACAAACAGCTTGGAAGCAAGAAAATTCAACTTGATGATCCAGAAATCCCTTCCCCAGTCCATTCTGCATAAATGAAATTTTTTTCTTTAAAAAAAAAATCCCTACAAACCTGTTTGGATTTCTCCCTATTTCACAAACACATTTGGTCACTAAAAAATGTATTTCAGCAGGAGTTCACCATCCATCCAAACCAGCTGGTATCTCCAATCAATAGCAGTGATGACTGATGAATTTGCACTGTAGGAGCTGAAATACCTTTGGCTGCAAACCAATCCCCCTTCAAGTTATGTTCCTGTACAAGCAGGATGGAAAGGCCTGAAACTGTTACTTGGTAAAGGCATAATGATGGTGATTTAGAGACTTCTATTCACAAGAAAGTAAAGGTGAAAAACACTCTGGAGAATCAGGGTGATCATAATTTGGGGTTATTTCTTTCTGCTGGATATGTATGAATTGTCTCCCAGTGCCTATTACATTATGGAAGAAACTGTTTTCTCTAAGATACAAAACCTCCCTGCAGTCTGGATCAACTCAGGAATGAACAAGGGACCAGATATTTAGAAGGAGAGAAAAATCGTCCATGAATACCACTAGGATATACTAAACACAATGTGAGTTTGGAGCACCAATAAAATTTTGTTGAAGAGCAGAAAACAGGGCTGGAGTAAAGCCCTAAGGTGGGCTGAAGTTAGTTAACGTGTGTTTTCGTTCTTGAACATTCTCCTTCAGCAAAGATTTGGCATGTGTTCTTTTGGGACTGTGAATAACAAATGATAAGCAGGCAGTGAGAGGCAAAAGCCGTAACCCGGAGAGGTGGAGGCAGTAAAAATGCACCAGGGCTTTACATCCTCGTGTCCCTCTCCCTGTAGGGGCAAAGGGAAGCAGTGATCTAAACGGAACATGTGATTTCCCAACAGCATTTTGAGCTGTGGATGTTGAAGTATCTAGAAAGAAGTGGTGGCAGAGAAGCTTTTAGGCAAATTACTTGGCGAGCAGGCCTGTTGGGAATGAAAAGAGGAATGAATGAGTACGGCTCACCCCTGTTACGCAGGATTATCAGGAAACAGGGAACACCCCTCAATGCCGTGGGCTGCAGCACATTGCACTCATCATTACGCTGAAAAATAAACCACAAACACTGAAAGTTCTCCAGACGTGTTGGAGCTATCCTATGGTCTTGGGGCGCTGTCCCGGGGTGCTGGCAGTGCCCTGGTGGCTGGGAGCAGTGCTGGAGCCCCTCGCGGCAGGGCAAGCTGCGGGCGCAGCCGGGCTGGGGCGGGGGCGCGGTGCCCGCCAAGGTTCGCTGCGCTCCGGTGTGCGGGAACAGAGGAGACCTGGCTGGGAAGAAGGCCTGGAGAGGAGGAGGAGGAGGATGAGGAGGAGGAGAGGGGGGTCAGAGAGGGGAGGGTTTTGCCATACTCACCCGGGGCGGGGGTTACACACCGAGGGATGGGAGGCTGTTCCTGCTGCGCTGCAGAAGGAAAGTTGGCCGCGCTGCCGCGCAGGGCTCGTTCTCCTGCCTCTCTCCCTCCGCCTGCCTCTCTCTCCCTCCCTCCCTCCTCCTTTTCCTCCTCCTCCTCCCGAGCCCACAGTGCCGCCGAGGCGGTGCAGGCGGCGCAGCCCCTTCTCGGCTGGCGCTGAGCAGCCCCGGGCCCGGTCCCCGCCGCCGCCCCCGCCGCGGGGATGCTGCCGGGCGGAGCGCCGGGGCGCTGAGCCGCCCTCCGGCCGCGCCAGCGGGAGCACCGCGCCGCGGGTCACCTTGCAGGGAGGTGAGTGACCCCCCAGCCCACCCTGTCCGACCCCCTCCGGGCAGCGATGCACCAAATGCCCGCTGCGCCGCATCCTCCGGAGCATCCTCCGGAGCATCCTCCGGAGCGCGGAGCGGAGGCGGGGGCACCGCGGCTCCCGCAGCCGCCGCGGCGGAGGGACCCCGGGGGGAGCGCAGGGAAGCGCGGGGGCTGAGCGGGGCTGCCCGCAGAGGTGCTTCCCCGATGCCCTGCGGAGAGCACAAATTACCGTGCCCGGTCTTGCCCGGTGGGGTCTGGGGGGAGGAAAGGCTTTTCCAGTGCGCGGCAGATGGGGAACATTGGAAGGGAAAGTGCGCGCGGGGTTTTCCTTCTCCCTTTCCTCCTCTTCCCCGTGAGGAATCCCATCTAGCGCACTGTGGCAGAGCAGCTTTCTCTCCCAGCTCCCGTCCGCTCTGCCAGCCCAGGGAAGGGGGAGAGGGGTTGTGCAGGGGTCTGCGGGGGCAGAGCCCGAGCCGGGGCAGGCAGCGGAGATGCTGAGCTCCTGGCAGCCGCAGCTGCCCGTTCCCCTCGCTATCCTGCTCCGGAGAGCTGCCGGACTGAATTTCCTTTCCCTCCCATCCTCTAGTTTGAGAGCAGTGACAGCTAAGTTGGGGAAAGGGATGGCTGAGGCAAGGAGGCAGCAGTGGTCCCTGCTATCGGTGGCAGGGGGATGACATTGGGGAAGTCCCCTGTACTTGCACGTCCTTCTGGATGGGGTATTCGGGTATCACTAGAGCATCCCGCAAGGGGCCAGTTCTTCAGTAGGAAGAAACTGGCAATGCACTGAGACCTTTCTGGAACTGACACTCCAGGAGCACAATCCTTCTTGGAACAGGATCGCTAGCGCTCCCAGTCAGGAGTGTGCTGCAGGGGGAGAGGCAAAAGGGTCTGTGTGGGACTGGCCGTGGTGGTGGGGTATAACCCCCCCCCCCCGGATAGAATTTGGAGCAGGAGTGGCAGGAGTTGCTCCAGAGAGCAATCTGTTGAACTGTGCCTTCAATAACACTGGAGCGAAGCTGTAGCCTCTGATAGAAAAAAAAAAAATCTAAACTTTTCAGATAGATTAAATATTCAAATTACAATTAATTAGATATTAATCTGGTGTAAACAGAGAATTAGCAACAATTAAAAGAGGCTTTGATGGTCTTAAACTGAAGATGATGCATTAACTGGCACATTGAGGGGGATATTTGTGTATTCTAAAGAGGAATCAGAACAGAGAATACACTTTCTTACATTAATGTATTTAAATGACTTAGTTTTAATTCTAGTTAATTAACTGTCATCTTTAAAGTAGCTGCAAGTAGATGGTCTGTATTAATTTCAAATTACCTTGCTCCTAAGACAAAGACTGATTTTACTGCACAAGGTTACATTTTATTGGCAGTTTTGGTAACTACAGATCATGTCAGGGTCTATGTAGGATAAACTCATTTGTAGGAATTAAATGAAGTCTCCTCTCATTAGCTGGGCAGGCAGATGTCTCACACCACTGGTGCCACGCACTCTGGAATAAATCTTACACACAGAGGAGGGCTCTTCCTTATACAAATGCAGATGTAATGCAGTACTGGTGTACACAGGCACCACCACAAGACATTTAACTTGAGGAAGGATGCTCTCAGGATTTAAAATGCTTTTGCTTCTGAGGACAGTATTAGAGAAAATACAACATGTTTGGATAAGGTTTTTTTTTCTTTCTTTCTCTCTACAGCAAATTCATATCTGCAGACAGCTGTAAAATGCTTCCAGTAGAGTTATTTGATACTGTCCATGTGTTTATTAATATTGCAGATTACATATGTGGTTACTAAGAATCCAAATTTTGTCATCTTCACTTTGGAGTCTCGAATTTTTGCAGGTTATAGTTTGTATGGTGCAATTGGGGGAAAAAACGGAAAATAACTGCAGAGGTGCACACAGGAGAAAAATACTCTGCATGTTCACTGGCTTTGCTTTGACAAACATGAATAGTGGCTGTGTGTAAGTGTCTGAGTACACATCCTCCAGCTGTCATAGCAGTTGTTTCTGAGTGCCCTTTCTCTGGCAAAAAAGCTGGAAACTACTTTGAGTAATAGGGTCACTGCAAAATGTTCCTCTTTCAGTTGTGACCCTGAGGATTCACATGGAGCTGGTCTAACTTGTAGCACCTAAAAATCAGAAAATTCTGTGATTTCAATTTGGTGCTGTAAAATCAGAAGAGTGACAAGCTGGTTGTTTTCACTGCACAAGCGAAGACTGCATTTTGAAGCGGTGGTGCAGTGCATGAGTGGTGTGAGTCCATGCATGCCTTTAGCAGTGCCAGTTTTATACCTGGCATCCCTATGGATGTGTATCTGTATGTGTGTCTATAAAACCTGAATGTGCAAAGTTCCCTCATTTACCAATAACTCTCCAAATCCCTACTGCATTTCTGTCCTTACACTTTGAGGCTTCACCGAGGCATGAGAAGAATGAACTGACTGTTCACACCAAGTTGGCATAATTCTGGCTGAATTTTGATGGGGTTTTTGTGCTCTGATGGACTGCTCAGATACCTTAAAAATCCCCAGGGAGAACAAAGAACTCTAAAATGGTATTTGCTAAAGGACAGAATCATAACATGGTTTGGGTTGCAAGGGATATTAAGATTGTGTAGTTCCAAACCCCCTGCCATGGACAGGGATACATTCCACTAGCTCAGGTTGCTTAGGGCCCATCCAACTGGAAAACTTCCAGGGATGGGGCATAATCAAATAGTTCAGCTTCTAGAGAAAGGACCTAGGAAAGGCATCCAGCCTGGTGTCAGGTCCTGCAGGACAGCTCTGCTCAGTGTGCTGCTTCAGGACATCTCCCACAGCAGCTGCCCTTACATGCAATGACTTACTCAGTCCTCTCCCAGTGGGTGGGGTCCCCTTGTCACCCACCCACCTTCCAGCTCCTGTCCTTGTGCTCTTTGCAGCAGAACAACCTCCCTTCTTCCAGCTGCATGTGGCTCACAAAATCATGGAGGCAAGGTTGTGATGGGGATATGCTGCCAGCCCAAAGCCTGTGCCTGCCATACCGAAGTCCCTGAGGTCCTATACCCCTTTACCCCTTCTCCTCCCAGAGAACAGAGAGGACAGGACTTTTCTTCGTTCAGACAATGCCCCAGCTCTAATAGGCATCAGCATTACTCATTTCCATTTTTGTTTCTGTAGGGTTAAGAAAGGTCTGTAAAGGTCAAACTATGCCCCACTGATGCTCCTGCTTCATTTTCCCCTGCCTGCCCTATCTGCCTCCAGCTACCACTCTCGTCATGGCTAAATCACTTACTCTGTAAGGCTTTTGTCCCATGGTATAGTCCTGGCTCTGCAATTTTTCTGTCTTATGGAGCACAGCTGATTTTATGGCCCCAGAAGCGTCTGTTTACTCTAATCATCCTTGCCCAGATGAACTGACTCTAGTAATTCTACAGTGTTTTTCTAGCAAAGTGACTTACAGCCCTGGGGCACTTTTCTTGGGACAAGAGGTACAGAAACTTCCATTTTGCACCAAGTCTGCACCACCACACTGTCTTCCTGTTCTGCCAGCTCTTTATTTTCCATCTGTGCTTCAGGAATACCTGAAGCCTGGAGCACAGCACTGGGGGTTTACATGCAGAGAGAGTGTGAGGCAGTGTCTTGTCCTGCTTTGCTTCCTGCATGCAGTGTGGGAAAGCAAGTGCAGCCAGATGAGCAGGGTGTGTGCAGGAACTGGGTTCTCTGGGGGCTTGGCTGCCCATCAGGAATGAGACTGGAGTGAGTTAGTGGGGCCAGTCCTGGATCCACATTTGGGTGTTCCAGTCTGTGTCACAAGCACAGTTAAAACAGGGATTTTAGGTCCAAGGGGAGGCACAGGATTCAGGCAGCAGACAGACCAAGAAGGCCAGGGGATGCTGTGATGTTGGTATTCATGGGAGAGACTTCCAGCTTCTCTTTTGGAAAGTAAGAATTGCTCCTCATGGCTCGATCTCCCCAGTTTGAAATGGGGAGTTTGAATATGATGCTCCTGCTCTGCAGTACTGGGGAGCCTCTTGAAAACACAGCAGGAAAAACACAGTCAGATTTTCTGACTACTTTCACTCTGCAGAGTAATTGCCAGAAGTGGTACAGGTGTCAAGGCATTTTTACACTGGTGCTTTCCACAACAGCCAGGATTATTTACACCAGAGTAAGGTGTTCTTAGTCAGGCCAGTTATTTATTATCTGGAAAGTGCAGTGAATGAAAAAAGTTGTGAGTTCAGACTGAACCCCACTAAAAATTAAGGCTGAAAAATTTGAGTTGTGAAGGAGAATTGCTAGAAAAGTCTGAATGTGTTTTTTTTTCTTTTTTATTGGAGGCAACTTGAGGCATAGTGAATTAAAAGCCAGCTTGTTCAATTAAAAATAAATAAATGAAACATTGAATTTCATTTTAGCTCAGGCAAAATACCTCCATCTGCTCAAAAGGAAACACTTTGTTGCAGGAAAAACATTATTGTATATTAGGTCAGCGCAAGGCAATTCCTCCTTTCTTTCCCACTCTATTCTTTAATTCAGATACTGAATTAAGCAATCAATTATTCAGGCAGATATGCAAATGGTAATTGTTTTAACATATATCTCTGCACAGGCAATCAAGAAACCTGGATTTTATTTCCAGCTCTGTCTTGACATGACCTTGGGCATTTCACCATTGTCCAAATTTCTCGTTTTTAGGAGGACAGATCACATCTAACAGCAGATTTGCTGCATATTGGTAGTACTAAAATAGCATGGAGGTCTTTTTAATTCCACTGTTAGCAATGAAACATTTAGCTATCACTAATGCATGCATTCCTAATTTTCCCAGTGTGAGTTAGTTGCACTGCCTTACGAAACTCCCTGTAGTTTACTTAATAGAGTAAAAGGAATTCCAGCTGCTGAAATACAGCATTCCCTTGAAACAAAACCTACTTTAATAAGCCCAGCTAAATCAAAGAAGAAAAATACAAGTGGGAAAGAGGTTTTTTCATTCATTTTGTTAAATATTTCACTTTGTAATCAGCACTCCAGATCCATACATTGCCTGTGATTTCTCTCATGCATAAGCCTGTATTTGTTGTTGCAGTTTCTATATGTCTGGAATGCCTCAAACCATGCTGAAGCCTATTGCATTGTGCTTTAGAAACTCCCTCTTACCTGACACCTCATGCCAGGAATTCTGCAACTTATGTGGGGCTAGACTGCTCTTCAAGAGAGCTTTCTCCCCTCTGCTTTCTCTGTGCTGGCAGAGGGGAAACCAGCTTCAAACCCAGAACATTTTGTTGAATCTGATAATCCTGGGGCTGAATCATCTTCTGCCATCTGGCACAAAAGGTCACT